GGCAGCTTGGATAGTTGAGGCTGCCAAGCTGCCCCACCAAGGTGGGGACAGTCACGGGGAGGAGCAGGTGCAGGGAGATGAGGCCACACGGCAGGGCACTCTGCTGGGACACTGAACACAAACAGAGGAAACAAGCTCAGGCTACTTTTGAACAGCTCCAGTCTGTGTGCCCTTGGATGGTCTGAGGGCAGAGAGACACAGGAGGGGCAGTCACCAGGGTGGCTGGGCGCGACAGGGCCATACCTGACTCTCGGGTCCTGCCCACCACCATCTGGCTCCAGGGCCCGCTCCCGATGGCGTTGAAGGCCTGGACCTGGACGCGGTACTCCGTCCACTCCTCCAGGTCCTCGATGGTGTACTCCCGCTCCACGCGGTCCTGCACCACGTGGCTCAGCATCTTGCCGTGGCCATCTGACCGGCTGTACTTGATCTTGTAGCCCACTGACTCGGGGTTCCCGTTGTACTCCATCTCGGGGAGAGGCTGTAGCAAGGCAGGGAGGGCAAAGCTGCTGCGAGGCCAGGCCCGCCCCATGTAGGGAAGAGCTGCCCTGGTCCAGGCGGGGCTGGGCCCCCTCTTCCAGGGAGCCTTCAGGATTACCCAGCCCACTATCCCACCTATCAGTGTCCAGGTGAGGTGCTGTCACCCCAGGTGTGGCTTAGGTCATGTGACCTGAGTTTCTGATGGCCCATCTCCCTGTCTCTCCTTGCTAGGTTCCGAAGAAAGGTAGCATCCGTCCTTTATTGTGTGTGTGAAAAACTTATTACCCTGCCAGGGGTGTCAGATCTTTCGGGGAGACCCACAAAGGCTGTCTGTCCCACATGCTGATGAGAACTGCCACCTTTGGCTCTGGCTGTCTCCACTGCTTAACTCCCTCACTCAGGCTGCCAACATGCATCTAATTGCCTACGACACCTGCTCTCAGCTCTGGCCTGCCCTTGGAGAAGCGAGCAGGGGGAGAGGGCAGCCTGCCTGCGCATGGGGCATGCATCTGTCAGGAAGTCCTTCTCTCCAGCGATCCAATCTCTCCTGCTGTATTTTCAGCCTCCTCCTCTTTTTGGAGTCTCATCAAAGAAAAAAGACAGAATTCCTTCCTGAGCCTTAGGACTAGGCTGCTGGGGCTGTGGTCAGGTGCAAGGTCATCTGGATGAACTTGGGCAGTGTTGGGAAGCAGCGGAGGTGTGTGCATGTTGGGGGTGGCCTGTGTCTGAAGCAGGTGTGAGCTGAGGGCCTTCAGCTTCTGCTCCGAAGGGGACAGAACTGGAGCTGGGAATCTCCAGCCCTCACCACCACCCCCTTCTTCTTCCCCACGGGCTCTGAAGGGCCCTTGATGCCCAGGCCCACCGCATCCTGACCCACTTTATCCCGTTCCTCCCCTTTGGCCTCTGCCTCACCTGCTCTCTACGCACCCCTTCCCCCTCCTGCCCCCTCCTGCAGACACTTAGTGAAGCAGACCAGACACCATTAAGACAGCAATCGATGGGCCTGAGAGCTGGAGATGGGACCTGCACGCACGCTGCCCCACCTGCTGAGGGAAAGTAACGGGCCATGCACCATTAAGCGGGCCTGAGAGGTGCCTGGGGCCCCGCACAGCGCAGCAATCACCTTTTTATTACCCTTCCAGGCCCCCCTTGAGTATCGAACTCTTTAACCTTTCGGTAGTTGGAAACCTTACAGTGAGATTCAGGAGGGAAGCAGAGAGCCCACCTGGGTAGGGGGGAGCAGAGCTGGGAGAGAAGGGGCAGGGGGCCAACGCGGTAACAAGTGCAGATGGGGAGCCTGCCTGCGGTGCTCTCGGCCGCTGGGCTGGACCGAAACAGCTCTGCCCGGGTGCAGCCTCTCGGGGAGGGGAATCATAATTAATAACTGATGAGCGCCACGTGCTTTCATTGCCGTTAGCTCTTTTATCAGGCTGTCCGCAAAAGTGAAAGGCAGTAACGGCCCACAGCACGTTGCATTCTGCAAGTTGTGTCCAGTGCAACCAGCAAGAGATCTTCCATGGAAAACGAAGAGTTGTGTGGTCCGATGGGCCGGGCGAGCTGCGTCGAGCAGGCTCCTTCCCAGGCCGGTGTTCCGGTTCTCTAAGGAGCCCTGGCACACGGTGCTGTTCCCCACACTTATTTCTCTAAGGACGCGTTTGCTCTGAGTGCTTCTTGGGACTGCTAGTTGTGGGACCCACGCTGGGAAACGCTGTCGGGGGTCTAGGGCCTGAGGGAGAAATTGCCCCTCCTGGGCTACAGAAGATGAGATGGCAGTGTTCCCAGTGACTAGGGCTGTGGATTTTGGGGTACAGACTCCCCAGGTTGGGATCTCAGTCCTCTGTTAACTAGGGGATAGGGGAGGATGTGGGGGTCTTGGGCAAATTATCCAACATCTTTCTGCCCCAATTTCTTCGTCTGCAAAATGGGAACAAATCACTCCACCATTATAGGTTTGTTGAGAGGACTGAAAGCCTGACTTTGAATAAAGCTCTCAGAACAGCGTCTGCCAGGAGAGGAAGCCCAGCCTGTTAGTATTATCACCTGGTGCAGTGTCACCCTGGGGTAATGACCCTCAACATACAATGCTGATCTGCAGGAACAGGCCGAGAACCTCACGGCCCCTCCCTCAGTGCCCCCTCACTCTCCGAAGGAGTCCCTCGCTTTCTGGCTTAGTGTGGTAGAGAACTGCCATCTGAGCCCCAGACCCACCGCTTGGGAGCTGTGTGACCATGAGCAAGTTCCTAACCTCTCTGAGCCTCAGTTTTCTTAGCTGTAAATTGGGAATAAGAATGTGTCCTTTGTAAGATTACTGAAAGGATTACATGGGCTAAAAAAATTTTAAATGCTTGGTACTTGGCAATGCTCAATAAACAGTGTTT